GGGTGACAGCTTTGCCAGGAGCACATGTGGACACACAGGGTCCAGCTGCAGACCTTTCCAGAAACATGGTGATGGAGTCTTCCTGTGTGGGGTGCAGGTGACTGAGCTAAAAATGGAGCCTTGCCAGGAACCAGGTCTCCTTAACAGCTGCCCCACAGACAGCCATTCCAGAAGGAAACTGGGGAGCCCTGACTCCAAGAAAGGAGAAATTCTGGGGAATTTCTGGGAGGGGTCGTATTGGGGGAGGGGGCTAAGAGGTATAAACTATTGGATAAAATAAGCTACAAAGATATACTGTACAATGCAGGGAATACAGCCAATATTTTATAACTACAAATGGAATATAACCTTTAAAAGTTGTGAATCACTATATTGTACACCTGTAACCTATATATAGCATCATGAGCAACAACATTTCAATTTAAAAAGAATTTAAAAAAACAAAGTATATTTGTAGGAAAACAAGATAAATTCTGCACAGCCTTGGACCCAGGCCAAATGGAGTGAGATAATCCCTGCTCTCTGGTGTGAGGCTGTGAAGGGAAAGGAATTTATGGTCTTCCAGGCAATGGTGTGGCCAGAACAGCTGCATAAATTCCTTGAATCCATTTCGAGGAGTCAGTTATTACATGTGGCAGATAAAAGTTACTTTTGCCCAACCTTCCAAAATAATGTACTAATGTAAACAAACCTTCCCAGACCACTGATAATACATATTGCCTTTTGATATAATACACACCTTAAAAAGTTTCAAGACCCAGTAATGCTATTTTTAGAAAAAGATAGATTTTTTTAAATTAACTTTTTATTGAAGTCAGTTTACAAAGTGTCAGTTTCTGTTGTACAGCATGTTTCAGTCATACATATACACACATATATTCTTTTTCATAATTTTTCATTATTGGTTACACAAGATATTGAATATAGTTCCCTGTACTACACAGTATAAACTTGTTGTTTATCTATTTCATATATAGTAGTTAGTATCTACAAATCTCAAACTCTCAATTTATCCCTTCCCACCCCTTTCCCCTCAACCCAGTAATGATGTTTGTTTTCTATGTCTGTGAGTCTGTTAAGAACTGATATTTTCCCCTACTTTTGTATTTTCTATATTTTTCTAGGAAATCTTGTCAACTTCCTAATTTCTAAAAATGTCTGACAATGGAATAAGAGTCTGATAAAGAACTGAGAAATTTATCACTTTGTCAATAAAATTGTAAATAAAATTTGTTCAAAATGTAGAGCTTTCATTTTCATAAAGTAATGAAGAAATCCAGACAGACTGGTTTGTGAGTTTTAGACTGTAACAGGCTTTGGGAGAAATGATCTGAATGGGTAGGAATGTTTCCCTCTTTCCTATTTTGGTTTA